TATACGAGGCCCCATAATGGGCCGAGCTCTGGCACATATCCGAATATGAGCTTGGAGGGACCACTTGTCCCCAGCGACAGTTTGCCACTTTCTCACCTCCCCCAGGAGTCGGAGGAGGAGGAGCATTGAAATGGGATTGCGAATAGGAATGGGAATGGGTATGGGGGCTGGGAGCAACCGATTCCCGACCAGGCAATAAAAGTTCAGCACAGGGACAGGATAGTCGCAGGGGCGGTGGGAGGTCTACAGTCGGGCTTAGCTTTTCATTACTTTATTTTCGAGTCTAGGCTCAATCTGAATCTGTCTTGCCAATAACAGCAATGCCACCAAAAACACCAAAAGCAACAACACCAGCCGGCGAGCGGGAAAACTGCACCGGACTCGCAGTGCTCGTTTAAATGCGGAGTCGCAATGGCATTCGTTGTTTGGAAACCCAAAATAGACAGCCAGAAAGAAAACAAGAAATAAGTATATTACTCTAAAGGTTATCCAAGGCATTGCGATTCGGGGATACCCTACCAGATATTTGGTTACCACGGAATATGCAGCAAAAAAAAAGCACCACGCCTTTTTGTGGCACGATCGGAATGCAGATCGAATCAAAGTTACTTTTCGCTAATATTAATCATGTAATTTGACTTAATCTCTACTCTAGTGCTCCCATTCACAGCAGAGAATAAAAATTGGGCACCAGCATTCCTCCTCAACCATTTTCGTATCTCTTTAGCTAAAATGTAAATCAATTAATCAAGATTATTCAATCAGCTAATTTAGCTGACACCTGCCCTACTGACATTTGATACCTTTTTTAGGTGACACAACTTAAACTAAAAACTGCTATATTAAACAGGTTTGCTGTGATAAGGGAAACAGCGTTGGATCATTATTATTACAGTAATAAATGTTAATCCCATTATGTATTTTTAATAAAGCAAAGCATGCTCAGTCGGTGTGACTAACTTGTGATAATTGTGACCAAGCCAGTCACTCGCCGGACACGCCCAGACAAAGGGTATTTGTAGGTCTTAGAAGGAAAACTAGGAGCCGCAGGAAGGAGCAGGCGGGCCAAAAGGAAAACAGAAATCGTTTTTGCGCAATCCCCACAGATCTGATAAGCAGTTAGAGAGCATTAGACCAGCTAGCACACACTCGCAAACGGCAAACGGCAACGGCGACGGCAAACAGCCAGCAAACAAACCAATAGACAAACGGAGAAACACATCCAGCAGACCCAAAGTGTCTGGGCCAGAGTCTGAGTCTGAGAGTCTGACTCTGGCTCTGAAAGCCCCAGCATCAGCATCAGTACAGCATCAGCACAGCATCAGCATCAGCATAAAGCCAGCGTCGAGTCAAAATCCCCAAGCCGCAATCTCAACTGGCCCGACCGGGCTAACTTTTGAGTGTTGCAGCACTGACTGAGCTTAGCTGGCTGGCCCGGCTCCCAAAAGATCTCCTCCGGATCCCCAGATCCCCCAGTTCCCCCAGTTCCAGCAGTTCCCCCAAATGCCCAGCAATCCCACCAATCCAATGGCTTGAGAGTCGCAACGTAACATGCAACATTACATGCCTATAATTTGTTTTCACACAGCAGGACGTTTTCACTCCATAAGACATCAGAAAGAGGTCTTAAATGGTCACATTACTGCCATTTCCAACAGCGTTCAAATGTTCAGAGACGACTAGGAGTACGACTACGACTGCGACTGCGACTACGGCTGCATCTTCTCCAGAGTTTCAATGGCCGTGCCTTTTGGCCAGATCTTTGCTACACAGCCTGCGGGCAATGCAATAATGTTTGCTAACTGTTATTTAATATAGTCATTATTTGGCCACAACTTGTCCCACTGAGCAAATGGCACTTCATTCCCCAATTTTGCAACGCATCCCCCGCGGCATCATTCTGCCGCATCCTCATTCATGCACCGTTGTTGCCCGAACTTTGGCAGACGCAATATGGGTATAGTGCATCCTGCACTTTAAGAAAAGTAGTGATAAGAAAGATGGCATAAATGTCATAAATAAGTTTCTTTTTAATATATGAACAATTCCTAATAAAATTTGGTTAGAATAATTTTTTATAATTATAATAATTATAAAAATTGTGAACTGGTAATTCAGATACCCTTTACTCAGAACATCGATAGAAATTGGAAAGAATAAAAAAAAAAAAAACGAATCAACGAATCTAGTATACCCGTAGAGTAATCTACGAGTTTATAATCCACAGATATTCGTTGGGTCTTTATAAATAATTTGCAAATGAGAAAAGTGTATCAATGTATCGATAGAAAAAATAGTTTCTACTAATTCCAATTTCCTTATGTGATCTTTTGAAGAAATTTATGATTTTTATAACGTTCTTTACAATTGATATTTAGATTTAGAAGTAGCCGAAATCGGATTTTTCAATATGCTACAACTGATTTATTTGGTTTCCTTTTAATTTCCTTTTTATGTGGAATGACTAGGTAGAGGTAATAAATCGTGAGTTTAGTGTAACAGATACGAATTACTCTTGCATCACTGCACCGATGATCGAATGCACAAGTGCCGGGGCTGGTCATCTCCTGCCCCTCCTCCTCCGGCTCCTCCTGCTCCTTATCCCTCCGCATCCCAGTCTACCTGGCGGGGCATACGACCCCCATTCCCCTTCCGCCACCTCTTTTCACAACTGAGGCTAAGCCCCAATTTGGATTATTTGTAGACATTAAATAAGCTGCGGCCACTGCAAATGCTGGTGGAATTAAGTCGCGCCAGAGTTAAAAATATCCGCGAGACGTCTCGGGATTGTCCCATTGCGAAGTTCCTAGATCGAGTTGTGCCGATAAAGGTGCAGCTGCAGATCGGCTTTACTTGGAGGAGCAGAGGAGCAGAAGAGCAGGCGAAGATCAGGATGGGAGGCTGGGTGAGGTGAGGTACCAGGTAAGAGGCATCTTTACACAATTCAATTGAGTGGCAGGCGGGGCATTTACATATGAGCATACCAAGTGTCCTTTACCGTTACGGCCAGGTAACAATATAATATGAGAGACAGCAAAACAAACAACAAAACAAAGCCAACTACTACCAACTACCAACTTCCAACTACCAACTTCCAACTACCAACTGCTGCCCACACTAAACAAGTTAACATTAAGCGTCGGCAGCAGTCAGCAGTCAACACCGAACAATAACAATAACAATAGCAATAAAAATAAAAATAAAATACACAAGAGGGCAAGGGTGAGGGGCAAGGAAAACACAACACGAAAAAGTATCTTCAAAATACACTTATGCTGTCTTTTTATGGCATATCTTTTACTTATTTGCCCGCACTTAAGTATCGCTGCTCTTTTCTTAAGATTTTTCCCTTTTTTATTTTCTGTTGTTTTTTCGATTCGTATTTTTATTTTTATTTTCGTAAATGAAATGAAATCGAAATATGGGTCGTCGGCGCGCAGTCTGATTCCGATTCCGTTTTAATTTTTTTCGAGCCTCTCCCCCTAAAAAACCCCTTCGAAAATCAGAAAAATCGGAGATGAAAAAACTCCTGATCTCGAAACACACTTCCAACAAGAGATGCGAGCCAAATTTCGAGAGCATTATTGGCACGAATTATTAACCTTTTCTTTTGCCATGCTTCATTTTTTGTTGCGATCCAAATTGCTTTTTTTTTTGGATTTTTTTGGTGGTGCACTTTAAGCCCACATCTCTTTGGGGCGAGAAATTGGCCCAAACATACAGCGTACGTACGAGTATATGCGGAATGAGCCACAATTCGGCACGAAAGATCGTTCCAATTGGAACATGAGACCGCGACGAGTGCACCTCCATGCATTCGCATTCGCATCGCACTCGCATTCGTATTCATACTTATTCATAAGTCCAAAGAACTTTCACGCAACTGGGTTAATGGCTAATCATCGCCAGCACAGGCGCCTTCTGATGTACGTACTTGGTATGGGTACAGGTATGGGATCCGGCGGAGCTGACCTTGCCCACGCAGTGTGGGTAATGTGTTATGCCCTTCGATTCAACTCGATTCGATTGGATTCGATTCGATTCGGGTTTTCACCTTTTTACCGTTACGCAGCGATCACTGAGAAGTTGGAGCACCGCGCACTATTTGCTTTGATTTGATAGATTTGAATTCCGCGCGAATCACGGTTAATCCCACTGATAACTGATTCACGCAGCGCGAGCGGCTTCTGCCTTTTTCGGCTTCTGTTTTGGCGCTTCTATCCGCGAAGACCTCCGAACACGGCCAAATGTAATTGCCAAATGAAGATCACTCCAACAACCGGCCCTGTATTCTGCTGCGTGGTTGTTGTTGCTGCCGTCGCCGACACATGGTGAATATTCGTATTCGTATTTGGTCAGCTCAGCTGCTTTGCTGCACAGTGGGACCGATCGGTGGTCAGAAGTTAGTTGTAAAAGAAAAAAAATAAATGATAATATTTTATTCCTTATTAAGTAGACACTTTTTTAAATATCTGTTATAATATACCCCTTTCAGACGCAAATATAAAAACTTGAATAGAAATAGAGGTCATCGAAATTAATTGCATGTTTCCACTGTAGGAAACGTTCAAATGTGCTCATAAATGCGTTTCCATTTGTAATCGATAGTTCATTATCGATCAGTGTTTATTGTGTTCCAATTGAAACGATCTTTATTTTTATTTATTTATTTACACGTTTTGTTAAAATCTGCAACAAAATTAATCTAATAGTTCTGTAAATTTGCAAAACCATTAAATTATGGTAAAGAAATGCGTACTATACAATAGTAATAAGTTATAATGGTGTAAGGCCATGGCTGCTAGTGCTCTTAATATTTTTCATAATAATCATATTATTTGTTTTAAATAAATAAAAAAAAAATAATGAGAAAAGCAAACAATTAAAATATTTTCATAATTTTAAATTTGCAGACATTCAAGTACTTTAAAAATTATACACTTTATTTCATGTGTACAAAAATATCTTTTCTCGATATATTCAACTAAGTAAATATCGATAATTTTCTTTTTTACGCACGCGTGACAACCCTATTACTCAAGCCGTTGTTGTTCTTTTAATTAAGCGATTATTATTTAAAAAAAGGTACGCCCACGCCCTAGAAACCAAAACAATCTGGACATTTTCAAAGGATATATCACAGGATAACCCTTAAAAGTAACTATCAATTGAACAACTGAAGAAAATCATAAATTTGGACTGCGTTTTCATTAACCAAAATATTTGGGCGTTGACGCTGTCACGCAGGCCAAATAAGTTTGCGATTGGAAAGTGTTTACAGTGTTTCCCGGTGTCTTCCCACAGCAACATGGTAGTGCTGAGTTCCTGCTGGTCTCCTATCATTTGGTCGGATAATGTCCGGACGGGCAGTTACGCCGTGGCCGGCTATACGGCTGCGCTATCCGCCGTAATGATCACGCTGATATCTTATATGCTAGCAGGCGGGGAGTCTGCGCAACTCTATTCCCCGCTCTTTGAGACGGATATCAGGTCATCGATGCCCGTGGCAGGTGGATTCTTCATCATCTACTTCCTGCTGATCATCCTGTCCTCCTATTTGGTCTACTACGGCATTAAAATCAGGTAAGACGAGCTTTGGCTTCATAAGTTGATGGATCCACTTAAAACTATACCTATTTGCCAGCACTCGAGGATGGCTACTGCCTTGGTTGGGTCTCATTGGTCTGGCAATTCTCTTCCAGTTTTGCTGGAGCCTTTGGCTTATCGGAGGCTACTATATTTATGTAAGTACCGACTAATTTTTCCATGAATTAAAGCTAATGGATTATGTTTTCTTCACCGCAAGCTGGAGCAAACCTTCTCGGCCCTTTTAAACTTTGTTTGGGTAGCCTATAATGTAAGTGGTTGAGAGTCAAGGATCCTGGCTTTTCATGTATATAAACTTTTACACGTTTTACACTTTCCCTCAGATTTATTGCTGGCTGGTGGTCTTCTCGCAGTACCAGATATTCCTGGAGATCCAGAATCCAAACATTGAGCTGCTTATGCCATGATGGGAAGGTTTCTTCGCACAAAAGCTCGAATAATCCATTAGAATACTTTTTGACTTGAAACGCATCAGAAACTCCGTCCATGCGCATTTTTACAATAAGAATTCCGTACAATTCCACAGATGCCTACCAAATAGTTTTATATAAATTTATATATTTTACACACATTTATACACGATCAATTATACTAATGTATAAATCGAATGCCTTAGTCTGCTAAACGACAATTAAACAGATTCGTAAAACTACTGGATACGGAGCTCCTTGGGGCCAAGAAATCATTGTGGGTTTTGAATATCAACGTTTATTACCGTAAATTAAGTTTAGGTGTACTCTAATTATACGAGTTTGTGTGTGTGTGTGTGTGTGTTTACATCGAGAAAGGTATTATTTGTACAGAAACTTTAAATGAAAACTGACGACCTTTAACCATAGAAGCAGGGGATCTAAACTGGATGAAAGAGGGGGAAGTCGGAAAAGCATGGGGTATAAGAAAGTCATTAAATATACATTAAGGTAAATCTTAGGATCGAATAATTTACAGAGCCTGGTGTTGGACACAGAGCAATGGGCTGGGATCGCTGGCCTAATAGACTAGGTCTTCTCCTCCTTTTCCTTATTGTAGCGCTCCAGTTCCTTAAGGAACTGCGCCTTGGGTTTCATTACATTTGGCCGTTCTCCGCGGCAGTTGGGGCAGAACCACTTGCCCTTTGGTTTTAGCACCAGGGAGACGCACGAAAAATGGAACCACTCGATGGGGCACAGGTCGTTGTCGCACAGGATCATCTCGCCGAAGGAAATCTGCAACAGAAAACGCGATTAGTGGCGACCCTTTTTGGTAGGAAAACCACTGCAAACTCACCTGATTGCAGACACAGTAGGTCGGCTCGTCCGGATCAATGGTCTCCGGTGGAGGCGTCTCCTCGCGCGTACTGGCATTGGCATTTGAAGCCCCAGATCCGCGTACCTTGCGTTTCTTCTTCTTACCGGAATTGTTGCCACCGACTACGCCGGCTCCGCTTCCGCTGGCACCACCTCCTCCGGCTGCTCCACTGCTCGTGGCTGCTGACCCGCTAGCCAAACTGCCGGATGCCGACTGTAGACTGGCCTTACGTCCTTGTCCCGCTCCACTGGTACCGCCCAACGAGGATTTGCGCTCGCCACTGCCGCCACCACTGCCACTGGCTTCATTTGCCGAGTTGGACTCATTGCCGCCCATCTCCAAAGAACTTCCGTTGTTGACAACGCTCTCGTTTCGCCTCCTCGACCGTTTGCTGCCAGTGCGCTGCAGATCTCCGCCAGCACCGCCTCCCCCGCCGCTGACATTGCCATTGGAGCCGCTGTTACCGCCATTACTGATATGGCTTGAGCGCTCCGAGTTGGCCGATGAGCTGCCAACGTTGCCGGCCATGGAACTGGAACCGGACATAACACCACCACCATAGCCGCCCAAGGCGTAGAGATCCTTGGCCGAAAGCAGGCCGTTTCCATTCAGGCCACCATTGCCGGTGCCCGCTTGGTTGCCCTGCTCCCTCATTGGGCTCTGCAGGCGTTGCAGCTTCGAGGGCGCGCCATCGTCTAGAAGCGCATACCGATCGCGGTCCTCCTTCAGGTCCAGGTTCTGCTGGTCGGTGTCCAGCTGCCTCAGCTTTCCGTCGATTATCTCCTGCATATGATTGACAATCTGCATTTTTTCGTCGCCCAGTTCTTGCGCCTGAATGAGACTCTGGTGCATCCTGGAGATGCTTCTGGACCGTCGCCCGGCATCCGGAGAGTTCTGCAGGGACAGATACAGGTCGTAGTAGTGGTCCACGTCGCGAATGAGGCCTGCAAATCGAGGGGATTGTCCCAAGGGGGAGGTTAGGTTTTCCGCTTCTCCAACAGGCGTAATATCGGTCAGAACTCACCTCTGTACTGGACGTCTATGTCGCGGATGCGGGACAACTGGCGCTGCACGTCGTCCGGCAGGTTCTCCACAGAATCGATATAGTTGTCCACATAGGTGGCCGAATTGATGGCCTCCGACTCGGATGCAATGGGGTTTATCATCTTGTTTGGAGTGCGAATCGCTCTATTTCCGCCGCGACATCGGCTCGGGGACGTGGGATCGGATGGGAGCTGCTCTTCCGGCGCTCTGGAAGGGATCGGCAGGCTATATAGTGCTCCGATTCCACTCAGTTCCAACTTTTTGTATGGCGTTGCGAGTCGCAACTTGCGACTGTACTCGTGAGTGCGTGTATGTGTGCGTAGGTATTATTTATATGTATGTATACAATGGATGGTGCTTTCCCACACTAGTCGGCTGGAGTTTTGCAACACTGAAATCAGAATGGTTAATGGCACTGTGGTTGTCTCTGTTGAACTTTTTATAATATAAATATATTGTTTTTAAAAGTTTGTGACAAAATATTTATTCATCATTTCCAATGCAACTAAAAGTTGTACATGAAGTTTCCTACATTTCCGATAAATGGCCAATTAATACTTTTAATTTTGTTTTTTTTTTTAATTATAATAATCGTAATTTTAAAATCCTTTTATTGTTCTGTTTACTATTACTGGGTCTTATTTCACTTTTGAATAGTCAACAGCCAGTGCTGGAAAAACATTCAAAGCCAGCCCTCTTGGGGATTTGAATTTGCGCGGGAAACTGAAGTAATTCAAATATCTGTGAAATCTGCATTTTTAAACTAGGAAAAACAAATGCAATTTTTTTTGCTTGATTACTATTTTATTTGACTAACGTAAGAACGTTTATTAAAATTTTCAAGTCTTTTCTTCATTCAGTTTTATGTTAGTAAATGCATAAGAATACTATTTATACAAATTGTATATTTACCAAATATGTGTCATGTCAAAATTTTCTATGTCGGCACTTACTTCAAATGCAATCACCTTAAAATTATTACGTACATATTTTGCCATGTAAGTATACCGATATTTATTAATTATATATGTATGTTTGTGTATTCAACCTGAGTTCTGGCTCCCACTCCTTGTACATTTGGCTTAAACATAGTGAAGTGATGTGTTTGGGATTTGAAGTCTACCATGTGGATATCATTAGTAGTTTTGAAAATCTCTAACTGTTTATTGCAGTCCGCTAATTTCCTCTTCCTTAGCTCTTTGCACATTATCCCGATGCAAAATGCTGGATTTGTGTTTGTTTAGATTATACCTATGACGGTAATGAACATCGCAGAGCTCGCACCTGGTAAATTAAATCACAAATTAGTAAACGGGCAATAATCGGGATCTTATTGTGCACCCACCGATGAGGACGTTTTCCTGTGTGTACATCCTGGTGCTTTATAAGTTGGGAGCGCAGCAAGAAACCCTTCAAGCAGATATCACAGCGAAACGGAAACTTATCGTGTAAGGCTTGGTGCCTCTTCATAGCAGATGGGTCTTTAAATCCCCTGTGGCAATTCTTGCACTGGAAAGGTCTGCTGCCGTTGTGGGAGTTCATATGTAGGACTAAACCGTTCTTGCTGGTATAACTTTTGGGACACTTGGTGCAATAATGACGGGTGGCGCCTTCCCCCTTCGATTTCTTTTGCGTGCGAATGCGGTTGGCTGCCCCGTGAACATCCCTGTAGTCATTGGAAATTATTAGAAAATAGAAGCACCAAATAGTTCGGTACCTACTTCTCGTGCCTGTGACGACTGCTGGCGTTTGAGAACGACTCATTGCAATGGTTGCAGGAAAAGGGATGCTCGCCCTTGTGGAGCGCCCTTATGTGAATGTTGCGCGTATATAAATCGTAGAATTTCTTCGGGCACTCTGGACACTCAAAATTCTTGGCGCTATTGTGCCGGAGCAAGTGCATCTGCAGCTGACTGCGCTGGCGGAAGGAGTGTCCGCACTTGTCGCAGACGTAATTGAGTGGCTTGGCTTGCATCCTTTCGCGCTGTCGTCGTTTTTTCTCCTCTGGACTCACTCTCAATCGAGGTCTCTTTGGTAGTGGAAGCGAATACTTTGTTTCAGCTTCTTTTTGGCTATTGTATTCACCCAACACAACCTTATAGACCTTGGCTCCGTGATCTACTTTACCAATCTCTTCCTCAGTCTTACATTTTCGGATGCTTATTATTTCATTGCATGATGACTTGTTTTGCTCCAAAGCAATGTCTTTTTCTGTATCTTTGCCTATACCTAAGTCCTCTTCACTTAGTGAAAACTGAGTTGACTCTACATCCAGTGGAAAGTCCTCTTCATCCAGGGCACACTCACTATCCGACCACAACTCGGGGTTAAAATCTTCTAGGGCTAGGGTTTCTCTTGCCTGCTGGGCGGACTCTTCATAGAGGACATTTTCCAGCTCGAACTCCATTTCATCGTCACAATTTTGGAAAGTGTACTTTTCCGTCGTCTGCCTAAGCTTTCTGTCAATCTGCTGGCACTTGGCACGGAATTCCACGGTTTTCTTCAGAGTTTCCTGGCACGTTGCACAAATGTGATGCGGAAGCTCCTTTACTCCTTGTTGGATCTACACGAAATGTTTGTTTATTAATACATCTGCGAGTATATTGAATAGGGGTTTGTTTTTTCTGTTAAATTGCAAGGAATGTTGTATTTATGCACATACGCCTAAGTAGTAATCGTTCTTTGGCATGTTTTACCGAATTATCGACTTATAATAAGAACTCACATATTGTGTACCCGATAAGCCTTATCAACAAATTGTGCTCATGAAGCGAGGTTAGAACAATACACAAGTATGTAAAGTATAAACGAGTTTAAATGCAATTCTCGCAGAACAAACCAACCCTTTGTTAGACATACCCACACCCCAGTGGCGACCTTAATATGGTGTAGGAGCGCCATGTTGTCCCTGTCATAGAGATCCTTAACACCTCCATCCCGGGATATGATCCGGAAGCAGGTGCGGCACTTGCTAGTTGACGGGAGATTACAGTCCTGGAGCCCAGTGCTTTCCTCTTCAGAATGGCTATCAAAGAACGCACTGTCTCTCGTGGCGGTGGCCAGGGATGTGGAGGTGGTGGTGCTAGTGGCGTCACTGTCTTCGACCTCCGTCAGGAGTAGCTTCACTAGCTTTTCGTTGACCGGCCGCGAGCAGCGCTCATTTCGCGCTCTTTTCACTGTGTCTTTGTTGTCGTTTGACTGGCTCCTCTTGAACGAAAAAAAAGGAAAGCAGAAGGTATACATATGCGAGATTAGAATACTAATGATGCACAAGAGGAGCTGAGTGACACACCCATTTTGAATCGCTGGCTGCCCTGGACGACCTCATCTTCGAAAGTTAGCCGCAAATAACTGGATTTCTGTCGTTTTGGCAATGTGGAAAATGCTGAGTGGAAAGTTTCCGCTGGAAAGTTTCGCGGGCTGTTGGGAAACCCCGGAAAATGAGTTTGTTTTCCCCGTGATTTAATTCGACGAACTCGCAGAGGAATCTGTTGCCGCGGCTGCGAACTGCGCACTTCATCCTTTGCCGGCAAACTGCGAATTTTCTGCAAAGCAGCAAGCCGGGTTTGCAGGGCTGCAAAACCTTGAAGTAGGGGTTGAAATCAGGGCTGCGGCCATGTGCGTAGCCAAAGGCCCTTCTCAGGGGGTTGCAATTATAGTATATTGTTTATTATTGTTTATAATTAAGATATTGTTTATATATGTATAATATGTATTATATACATATACATATACTTACATACATAAACTTATCTTTAGTTTGCTTTCTTGACTTATAGCAACTAGCTTCTGCCCAAAATCTGCCAAATCTGCCCAAATCAAAAATCTTAGTTATTTAAAAAAAAATTACCATCTAAAACAAGTTTAAGTTATGATGAAGACAAATTCAGCACAGCTTTGTCCTCAACTCCTGCTCCTCAACTTTCATACGAAGATCAAGGTTAAGATTTCTCTGAAAGCAATCTGATGATGTATTCCTGGTGGTTCATTACGCTTTTCCATATTTTCCCTATGACTGATTTTGATTTGTTTCTTTATGCTTTTAAGGTTTTCGGTTTGCACTGGCACTTCTTCGTCATTCCTTCGTCTTTGGATTCCTGTGGCGATTCTTGATCTCCTTATTCCTGTGCGACATCTTGATCTTTGGATATCTCAGGGATTTCTTTATTTCGTGATTCCTCAGGCTTCATATCATCAGAAAGTATAGGTTTAGATCTTGTTCTTCGTTCGCTGTTCTGCTGGAGGAACTTCAGGAACTCATTTTTCTCGCCGCCTTGATAGAAAAATTCCTTGTCCGCATTAAAACCTGTTATCTAAATAGCCATTAAGCAAATTTATTTATTGTTTTGCTACGAACCACAAGGAACGCTGCCCGAAGGCGATGGAATCGTAAAAATCTTCGGAACTTTTGCTCGTTTGTGGTGTATAGTAAACCTTTACAGGAATTAAATTCTTTTTTTTTTTCCTTTATTGGAAATTATTTTCCATTTGATTTTAATGAAAAACTTTATCACCGATGATAGCATATTTTTTAAACACAATCATGTACTATTATGCAATAACTTATCTACAAACAAAACTGTCCTAGTTGAGACATCGACTATCAGATACCCAAAGTACGGGAAGAAATTTGAACATTTTATTGATTATATAATCTTCAGAAACAATCTTGCACATCTTAGGCCTCCCGAGTACTCGCCGTTCATACGGATGTACAGATGGAAATGGCTGGAGCAACTCGCCCTTATACAGAATACATATACTTCATAGTTATATGATTTTCATCAATTACCTTTTTTATAACAGTCTTTGAGTAACGGGAATTCATACTTAAAGGAGATAATTTACAATTTTTTGAGTTAATTTTGCTGCTGTACTAGCTTTCTTTAAAAAAGGGTTCAAGAGGAAAAATGTTCATGTCAACAGCCGATGAAGCGGAAGGCAAGGATGAATGCTCAACAAAGCTTAAAAGAAACCAAAGATTTACCCTTCCGGTTGAACAGTTTCGTCTCCACCTGGATTCTTTGACTGCTGCTCGACTTTCATCCGATGGTGCTTCGACTTGTAGTGGGTGGCCAGGGCGTTCCTCCTATTAAAGAACGTCTTGCAGAGCTCGCAGCTAAAGAAAATGTAATTAGTAAAGATCCAAACTGTGTTCTGTTTGCCTAAAACTCACTGGAATGGCTGTTCCCCCGTGTGCACCACGCTGTGGTCCTTGAGGGCCGTCGATGTCTTAAATGCCTTCTGGCATGTGGAGCACACGTGTGGTCGGTGGACGGGACTCTCCTTGTGGTTCCGCTCGTGGTTCAGGCGCTTGAGGCAGTTGTCAAATCGCTTGCCGCAGTACTTGCATACGTAGGGCAACTCGCCGCGATGCTTGATCCGCACGTGCAAATTGAGCAGGTGTTGGGTGAACTCCTTGCGGTCGCACTCCTTGCACTGGAACTCCTTTGTGCCCTTGTGCCGTCTGAGGTGGACATTGAAGTTGCCCTTCTCGCTGAAAGTTTTGCCGCATTGGTCGCAGAAATAAAGCCTGTGCTCCAGTGCATAGGCTCTTTTGGCAGCCCCCCAATTATTTCGAGTGGCATATTTGTCCTCTTTGCTCTTATTCCTTCTGGTGGTGGAAAATTCGTCAGCAGTGGCAGTGGTAATGGAGTCAATATTCTCCACCTGGCCTGACGAACTCGTCTTCTTAGCCATTTCATTGCCAGGACACTCCTCTAAGGAGTCTTTGCTCCTCAGCTTTCTTCGCTTTTTATGTACTTCCTCGATGACTTGTGGTGATCTGAGCTGTTCCTCTGTGATTTGTGGTGCTTCAGACTCTGGCTCTTCATGATTTATGGAATCCTCGGATTCCCCATCTGAAAGCAGGAGCTCGTTCTTCACCAGAATAGGATCCTCGCACCGGAGAGGATCGACGACATCGACATGAGGTGTTTCCGGTACAAGCAAGGGATAATTAGGAAATTCCAGTGCCCTAAGAGAAGTTCCATCCACTTTCTTGCTTCGTTCCGGTGGGATCCTCCTCTGCAGAATGATCTTTTGTGGCTGTGCAGGAGGGGCCAAGTTGGTCGGCACGATATTAATGGGCCCAACATCCACCTCACTTCCTTCCCTATTATTCCTGGCTTTACTAGCAGTTTCAGTGTCCGAATCCTCTTGTTTACCTCGATTTTCAAACCAAGAGGAGTTGGTTTTGATGCAGCGCTCGCGGAATGCGATGGCATCATTCAGATCCAACAAGCAGGATAAGCAGATCCTCGTGGGCACACCAGTCTGGTTCCTCAACTGGAATCGAAGAGGGCATGACTCCGCGCTTACCGGGAATGTTCACCTACCCAAAGGCCAGTCAGTTTGAGGATGTTGCTCAGGACGTCGCTGCCCTCCTGGTCGAAGAGTGCCTTGGCATGCTCCGCCTCCTGGCCACAGGTGCGGCACAGCGTTGTCATCTTTTTCTTAGTTTCAACAAAATTTTATAGTTTTGTTCAAGTAAACAAAGTTGGACTTGTGTTTACCAAATAATGTTGTTTATCACTGTTTTGTGTGAATGGCACATTTACAGTGAGCTACAAGTTATTAGTTCTTCTGATTTGAACTGTTTGAATTAATAAAGTCTAAATATTTTACTCGATTCAACATACACTTTCAAAAGTGATAAGTACACCTATATATTAGGATATTTTATCTTATTGATATCTTAGAAAATCTAGCATTTGCCTTTCCTACTACTATATTAATATAATGTGTCGGAAATTGCACTTAAAAAGCGCTCTTATTTGTTAACAGGTAGAACGTTGAGCCTCTAAACGAATGGCAGCACGTGACAACAAACTATTTGTACCTTATTTATTTTTGGAATCGTTCTCGGACTTCACTTTCGTTGCGAACTCCTTCTTTTGGTGCAGCCTGGAGCGGTAGTGGGTCTTCAAGTTGGACTTCCGTGTGAAGGACACTTTGCACAGCTCGCAGCTGAGGGGAGAATAGGAAATAAGGAGTTACAAATTTGAACTAGAATCATTTCAAGCAGGTAGTAGTAGCAATAAAATAGTAAATAAGCAGTACATGAATGTACAAATTAGAATTCCATTGAGGCTTTTCAAGACCCGTATGGAGAAAGGAATCTAGAGATTACTGATCTCAAAATCAACCAATTTATCTACACAAGATCTTACTGGAAGTTTCGCTCGCCGGTGTGGACGACCTCGTGCTTGGCCCTCTGGTAGTTCGACTCGAAACGCTTGTCGCAATAGTTGCACTTGAAGTTCTTTGGTGTCGTCCTGTTCCGGTGCACCCGGCTAAAGGAATGGGAGTGTTAGGGGGCCATTTAAGGGTATGCTATAAACTTACTTTTCATGGCGAGATCGCATAGTACTGTGCACGAATCGCTCGTCGCAGAATTGGCAGGCGTAGGGCTTCTCTCCGCGGTGCTTCACCCGAATGTGAATGTTCAGGATGTACCTGTTGAACTCCTTTTGGCCGCATTCCGGACACTCGAAGGGCTTGACGCCAGAGTGCCTAAGCACGTGCAGGTTGAAGTTGCCCTTGTCGGTGAATTTCTTGCCGCAATGATCGCAGACGTGAACCTTGTGGCTTACATAGGTTTTTCGTTTCCTTTTCGCAGGTTTCAGAATGTCGGTGTCTTCGTTTTTGGGAGATGATTCGGATTTTATTGACTTTCTAGTGGATTTTCGAGGAGGCTTCTTATCTTTGTCGAAGTCCGATTGACGCTGTGTGGCTGGTGTATATGTCGCACTATCGTCATCTGTATCGTAGTCTTCGTCGTCTTCTTTCTGCCAAAGTTCGTCGTCATCTTCCTGTGATTCCTCCTCATCCTGCTGTGAATGCTCCTCATCTTGCTGTGAATCCTCCTCATCTTGCTGTGACTCCTCTTCATCTTGCTGTGACTCCTCATCTTGCTGAGACTCTTCCTCACCGTCCTTTTCTTTCTTTTCCTCATCATCCTCGTGTACCTCCTCCTCATCGGCGGGACTTCCGCGGTCATTCTGTACACACTCCCCGTGCTCATCAACCTCACTTTCCTCCTCCTCCTTCTTGTACATATCGTGCTCCTCCCCCAGTCCCTCCTTGTCCGCATAGGACTCCTCGTACAGCACTTCCTGCTCGACTTCCGCATCGTTGATCTTCAGCACCTCGTGCGTGTCACTCAGCGAATCCTCCCAGCAGGCGTCATCTCTGGGTTCCAGCCTTCGGTTCTGGATCGTCAGCCGATTGTTGGTCTTGATGCAGACGTGTCTGAAGGCAATGGCGCTTTTCAGGCTCAGCAGGCAGCAGGAGCACATATTCCTGGGCAGCTTCGAATGATCAGTGAGCTGCAGAGCAATGTAAATTACTGTTTTGAATTTGCTAATTGAAGTTTACGCACTCACCCAAACGCCCGTCACCAATGCGATTTGCCTGACTGTTTTACTGCGCTTATCAAATATGCTTACTGGATTTTGGGTGTATATTAAATCTCCACACAACCGGCATTGTGGCGTCATTTTTAAGAGTTATTTTCGAGCCAAAATTCCTTGCTTTAGTAATGCGTGCTTCTTCATTTTAGACCATTCACAGCGAACGTTTGTTATATTTCCGCGTCTCTTTGTGACTGCCAAGCGATGGCGCCAGAACTTGAAAATCGCGCCTTTTATCTGAGGTTATTATGAAATTCGTTCTAAAATATAATCGAAACATTGCCTTCTGTGGCAAATAGAATTACCAAATATATTTAACATTTTAAACATTGGAACGCTTAGTGTTAAACTTATGGTATTATGCTGGAAATCAATATCATATGAACTTAAAATACTTCTCAGAATATTTCAAACTAAAAATATTTTGCGTCATTAATTGTCTGGCTTTGTCTGCCAATCACAAAATATTAAATTATTTAATTATTTGTAATGTATGCTTATCAAAACCATATACTTAAAGAAACTGCATTATTCTAGGAAAAGCAAATGACAAAAATCTAAAACTAATAAAGTCAGTTTGAAATAATATATAAGTTTGCAATGAGCAGTGAGAACAAAATACGAATTTCAAGTTAACGAAAGGCAATCCAGTGCCAAAACAATGAGAATACGTTTGAACATTTAAACCTAATCCAAGTCGACTTTTCAATATGAACACGTAAGTTTTTAAATGGACATAACTATTGGGCATCCTCTAAAACAGAATTAAGAGCGATCTCTAATTCATCTCCGGATAAGCACTGTTTGGAATCCAGGATTGCGGTAGCCTTTTTCTGGTGAGCTTGCGAATTGAAGTGATTCCTTAGCTTTGACTTTTGGGCAAAGTCTATGTTGCAAATGTCGCAGCTGAGAGGAAAGTACACGACTTATATCGATTAAACGCTATATCAGTTTTCTATATCAGTTTACTTACCTGAAAGGCTTGAGACCCGTGTGCAGGAACTTGTGCTTATTTAAGCAGGTCTTGGTATTGAACCTCTTGCCGCACTCGTCGCATTGGTAGCTCTGATCTCTGATGTGCCTCATTCTGCCGTCGTAAAGAGGAAATATTTATATTAGCGTTTTTGAAGTAAAATACAAATACTGACCGCTCATGTCGGGACTTAGCTGAGCTGGTAAAAAACGTATCCGAGCAGAATTGGCAGCTGAACGGCTGTTCGCCCATGTGGCGCACTCGTTCGTGTAGCCGCCCCAGATACTTCGAGACGAACCGCCTGTCGCAGAATGCGCATTGAAAGTCCTTCTGGCCCGTGTGCCGCACCAAGTGGATCTTGAGGTTGTATGCAGTCTTGAAGACCATTCTGCACTCAGGGCACTCCAGGGATTGCATTTTCCGGGTTCTCCTTTTGGCAGGGACTATATTCCCAGCTGCCTCGTCTTCTGGAACCGATATAGGAGGCCTTGCTACCCCAATACGCGCATCCGTTTTAGGTAGGCATATTTCCTTTCCAATTTGAATAAATATGCCCATGCTTGTGCTTTGTATACCAAATTTTTTAGGTACATTTCCTTTTGGCAACGAATAAGCCTCAATTAAAGGGTTCTTAGGCTTAATCTTGGGAGATTCCTGATCAATTAGGTTGTGTAGTCTTTTTTCTTCATCTTGATCATCGTGTTCCCCTGCTTCTTGATCACTGAAAATCTGATTTTTCCGATGGGTGAATTCAGGGTTAATTAGATAGTTTTCCGAAGATAGTTGTCCTTCTTGATGCTCCAGATATGGAGCAGAACAGCATTCCTCGAATCCGAAGTCACATAAATCCCCCTCTGGTTCTACATCGGATACTGGGCTTTTTAGACCCTGATCACTTCCAGATATCCGCCTCGGCATTGCTCCATTGTGAATTCGTTGAATGCGCCTTTTCAGCTTAATGGATGTATTCAAGTCGTTCAGACAAGTTGGACAAATGTGGCGCGGCTGTTGATCATCCTGTTCTAACTGTAAATAGAATAACTGGGTAATCCCATTGACAGGCCACAGAATCAAACAACATACCCATAGACCAGAAAGATCCTTGATCTTGGCCAGAACCCGCAGGCTAAAGATGGTCGTGGGATTCAGATGAAAGAAGCACAAGCCACACAGCTGGCACTGCAAAGCCATTTCCATTTCAAGGATTTGATAGTTTATCACGCTGCAGTTCCAAAGCGATCATTTCCTTTAGTGTAACTGTTAAGGATTAGCATTATGAATTATGGAACATATGAACACACAATCCCGCGAAAAGTGCAGACGACGTCCGAGAACTTCTCTTTAGACTTTAAACCGGAAAATTCTATAATTTAGCTTAGGTTCAAAAGCCGATAAAGTTTTGTTTTGCAGCCAATGGCGTTGCCAGATAAGTGTGGAAAACCTAACTGTTATTTACTATCTGGGGAAACCAGGGACGCTGCGTATACGAAACCGAACTAGTTTTTATTGTTTACGTTTTACATTAAGCAATGAAAGTTTAATTTTCCCTCCCAAAACGGAAGGTTTAAACTAAAACACACATTCAGTTACTTCTCAAAGCCCTCTAAATGTTCAATATATACTGGCTCTATATTATTTTTATTAAAAAAACGTAATTTGTAATTGAAATAAATGTCATAACAATTTGTAATCCGTGACCGAAGTTGAATTCCTTCAAACGTAGTGCTAATCGTCTTACGGCTACTAGTTCAAAAGAGTTCTTTGAACCACCAAAATAGTCCGATAGTCTGCATCCCTGGCATTGGCGAATGTGTGGCGCCAACGGAGTCGTATGACTTGTGTGCTTAAAGTTAGGTGTACAGCTCCTCCTCCGGGATGGCATCGTCATACTCGAACTCCTCAAAGGGCGCGTCCTGGTCCAGAAGTTCTTCGTGGTCCTCGTATTGCTCCTCATTCACGTCCTCCAAAAGTACGTCCAGCTCGGCCTGACTGTCCTCCATTTCTGCCTGTCCCTCTTCCATATATCCCGGACTCTCCTCCGGATCGGCATCTGACTGGAATTCCTCCTTCGGGTCATCCACCAACAAGTTGACTCGCTTGCGATGGTACTTGGTGGCGTAGTGCCGATGCAGAAACTGCGCCTCCTTGAACTCCTTGTTGCAGGTGAGGCAGCTTTGAGAGAGTACAAAAACAGTGAGGATCAATAAATCTATTTCTACGTATTTTTGAATGTTTCTTACATGTGGACATCCGGTTGGTCACTCTTGTGCCCCTCCTCGTGCTTTAACCGACCCTTCTCGCTGTTGAAACGTTTGCCGCATATTTTGCACGGGTGGACCAGCTCGTTAGCATGCATTTGACTGTCAAAGCGATTGGTTTATATGGTACTTTATGCTGCATGAAAACTAGTTACCATTAGGCCAACACTCACCGTTCATGACGACAGCGGCTGGGACTATTGGCGAATCCCATACCGCAGAACTTGCAGACGTACGGTTTCTCGCCCTTATGATGCACTCGGATGTGCAATCGGAGCAATGGCATGGTGTAGAACTTACGACCGCACTCGTCGCACGAAAACTTCTCTTCGAAGTGCCGCAACTTGTGATCCTTCATGTTGCTGTGGTCATTGAACGACCAACCACACTGGTCGCACACATATCGCTTAATCGATCGATCGACCTTGGGTTTTGGTCGCCGCTTTCTGGGCTTTCGCACGCGCTCCCGCGGAGCTGGTGGTGGACTATCTGGCTTTTCGATCTCCTCCACACGGAGTCGCTTGACCCTGACTCGTGGGGATTGACTGTTCGGGAGTTGTTGGGCCTCGAGCCTGATTTTTTTGACCGGAGGAAACCTTACAATCGGCTTTACGTCTTCCAAGAAATCTTTATCTTCATCCATGAGCTCTTTGTCATCTTCCAAGAAATCCTTATCATCGCCCAAGAATTCTCTATCATCCTCGAGTAGCTCCTTATCGTCCTCGGTGTCGACCGTATCCTCTTGTACTTCCTGTTTCATCAGCGGATCACTACGCACTTGCAAAACCTCCGCGGAGCCTTTTGAGTCAACACTCGTGTTCGAGGAGCTCCGCTGGTGGAGATTTGCGTGCGTCTGCAGGCATCGTTGCCTAAAGGCTACGGCTTGGGTCAGGTCCAGAAGACAACAAGAGCAGATGTGCTGGGGCAGCATCTTCTCCAAAACGATCTGAAATGGCATGGCTTGAATAATTCTGGAAAACAAATAAAAGGGACGCCACCTCCAAGCCCGTAATTTGCTCGATGGCCATCCGAATGCGATGGTTCCGCTTCTCGAAGATGTTCTTTGGGTGCGGCGTAAAGATGCGCTCGCCGCATATCCGACACTCGCTGGTCATTGTTGCAAGATTGAATACAATTTGTTAATTTAAACTACAAATTACGATTATAATATTTGCGCAGCCGGTTCGCTCTTTGCAGTGTGACCGTCGCTCGCAAAAACCGAAATCTTCTTTGGCGCGAACAAATGGTTTTTCCATATGCGTAGAATTTTGCGGGCGAAGAGTACTTTTTTTTTGTATATTTTGGTAAACAAAACCATATGCTTATATTTCCGAGTTTTGTTTTCTCAGCCGTTCTCTTTACCATTCACTGGAAAATTAATAACTTTCCAGATTTCTTCACTGCAACCCATTTACAAAAACATGTGTGATGTGAAATTTTTTAATAAATAAACGAATAATTCTTTTTGGTAAATATAACCTTGAATCTAGTTGTATCCATTTCGGTAAGCATTTGTTTTTATCTATAGGCTACGATTATAAAAATAAAGTAAACAGTTCAATGCATCGTGTATAATCTGCATAATCAAGTTTTAAGCTCTTGTGTACAAAGAATTTTTGGTAACTAACCTAGGAAAAGCGATTAGCAATCAAGGAAAGTCTCTCTTAACGTGTAATTGTCCATTCTTTTTAAAATGCTCTACAGAAATGCCTCTAGTACGGGTGCCGCGATGAGGCGCCAGCTTTCCCGCCACCGCAGCTCCTGGAATTCCTGAATTTTGCGCTGAAAACCAGCTCTGGTCTCCAGGATGCTGGGATTTTTTGGAAAATTCTCGAACCAGATCCTCAGCTGCTCGGCCAGCTGAACATGGTCCCCAAACACAAATCCATTCTCGCCGTGCTTCACCAGCTCATCCAGGCTGAAAAGCGAATTTGTGGCAAGTAGTAAATAATAATAATAAAGGCAAGAGATAAAAGCGTTAGGCAACGACACTTACCACTTGAAATCGTAGGCACAGACAGGCAGCCCGCTGCCAAACATATCGACCACCTTCATAGGCAGGTCCAGTCCACTGGTGCTCCAGTGCAGGCACACTCCCAGGTCGGCGCTGGCCAGAACAGTGGGATAATCCTCGATCTCTAGCCAGGGCGTGATCACCGACACCTTCTGCCATTGCAGCTTGTCGATCTCCGCCACATAGTGCTCCTTTTGTGGCCCCTTTCCAGTGATGATGCACAGCAGGGAAGGATAAACCAACGGCTCTGCTTGCGCAGTTTCCTCGTAAGTTTGCAAAGCCTTAAGGAGTATCCCGAAGTCCTCATCCGGCGTCCAACTGGTGCTTGAAACCAGCACAGCTTGTCGCTGGGGTCTATACTGCACAATACCGCTGGCCAGTTTCTGGGTAAGGGCGGTGGCCTCCAGAACATCGGATTGTTCGGCGTCCTTGGCCTGGAACTGTGGATAGTCCTTGCCCAGCTTCAGGTACAGCTCGTGCTTTTGAGTCAGGTCGATGGGATGGAATTGCGCGGGCGCACGATCATATAGAACTTTAACAGGCCTGAAAGATGAGTCATGGCTTAGTGATTAACTAAATTTAAACGGTTGGGTGTGGACTTGCCCAATGCCCCAGTTTTGCTGCAGATCCTCCTGCATAGCTCGCGTCACACAGAAGTGTGTGTGCGCCTTGGAGCCGAAGTATCGCTCCAGTCGCCTAACCAGTCGTATGAGAGGACTCTGCTCTCCCTTGGACATTCCCAGAGCCAGCACTGTGTAGGTGTAGTTGTGCCAATCGATGGCCAGTTTGGTTCGGGTAACCGCGCAGTACAGGTAGCACACAATTAGCGTGGGAATACCGGGCGGATTCTGGACGAGTAGGAAGCTGGGACGTCCAATCGAGATGAGCGCCATCAGGAGACTGAGCGTCTGCCAAAAGGCCTTGAAGAGCAGGCGCAGTTTGGGCGTAAGGTTCGTCACTGGGACGGCTGTAAGCTCATGGATTCGGCAGCGGGGATGCTGGGTCAGTTCCTCCAGAGGCCTCGTCTCCAGATAGCCAATCATGTCCACGTGGTAGTTCTCCTCCAGTAGACTCTGGGCATGGTACTGCATGCGCGGACTGCGTCCAATGTCGCCCAGCACGATGACGCAGGCGTTGCGCTTCTTGGGCGGCACTTCCGTCATCGCTGGGCTGAAAAAACACGAGCTTTATCTGCGATCAAAGTGAATTGCGCGTTTTGTTTGTGGTTTGGTTGAATCCTGTGGAGTAGTGTGACCGTACTCCATTACTGCAAAATAGCACCGAACTCTGCAAGTATGGCGCTACGTTGGGGTGGTTCATTCGCTTTATGCCAGGAAATTTTATTCACAAATATATAATCGTATTACTATTCATCAAACATCGATATGTTTTATTTATTAAAATGATTACTTTAAATACTTTTTTTATTACTTTCTAACATAGCACTAATATATCTGAACACACCTGTTATATAAAATAAGTGCGTTTAAAACAGTTACTAACAGAGAACTAACAGCTTAAGAGTGACCGCAGCAGCGTCACGAAAGTGGCGACATAATTGGCATAAGCGGGGCTGGCCACACCACACCGTTCAAACTGTATTTTACATTCAAATTCTGATTCGCTCGGACGTGACGTCGCGGCTCGTGAGTGCGGCACTTTTCTAGCGGGACTTTAAGCTCAGTGTGTGTGTGCGCGACAGTGCGTCGGTGTGTGTGTGTTTACCCACAAAGCTGTGCTGCTAATGCTCAAGTAGAGGAAATATTATTAAATATACTAGGTGGTGATGAAAAACAAATTGTTCAAACAAAGTGCAACAAAAGCTTACCGTTCAAGACTGCATAAACGGGAGTAAAATCGCCGGTGAGTAAAATCAGAAAGAGCACTCCAACTGCCGTTATTTTACGCATTTTCGCCGGCAAAACAAGCCGGTTTTCCACCCTCCAGTTGGCGCCTGTCTGGTTGTCAATGTGTGGGTGGCTCTATCGACGTGCGTGTGCAGGTGTGTGTATCTGTGTCTGTGTGTGGGGTTATTTCGAGCCATCGAATTTCGATGAAGTGGAAATGCAAATTTCGAACACCACACACTACAATTTCCCGAGCTCCTGCCGGTTTTGTTTTGCATTTCTGCATTTTTATGCACGTAGTATATTCTCTAGTGCCATCATAAAATTTGTCACACGGCTGTCTGGGATTATAACTAGGTGTACAGATGCGGGAGAAATATTAATATCATTTACTGATTTCTGTACGCACATGAATAAGTAATTAAGACGATAATAATACCTTTCAACACTTCAAATTTACTTAGACTACACTTAATTACACTTAATTTAAGAATTTTATAATCACAAAAATAGGAATAGAAAATGGAGAAATTAAATAAGATATTTATCTTATTATCTTATCTTATCGTAAATTTTAACAAACAATATTGAAGTAATAATTTGTAGAAATTTACTTATTGACTATAGCTATCAAACTAATATGCCGAATAGGATTTCTTGCGCTTAAATGTGATTTTAAACATGATACAGATATTGTATTATTCTGGCCCCAGCTGTGTGTGTGCTCCACGTAGTTTATCCCATTAGGCCCGTCTGCAATTTCTGATCCAGACGCGATACGCTCCGCGCATCGTTCTTTTGGTCCTGCGTCCTTCGTCCTTCGCAGAAGGCAAATAGCCAAGCCAGCAGGCCACCCCCAAAGTGGGTGGTGAAGGGGGGGTGGTGGTTGCACTGCTGGGGTGGCTGGGTGGTTTTCGGTGGGTTGCGGGATTTTCCTGGGGTTGGCCCGCAAGTTTCCACTCTTGATTTTTGATTTCTGTGCTGCTTTTTATGGCGTTGCAGAAGTTTTCGCTCTGCCGTCGCCCTTTTGCGCTCTTTTCCATTCTCTTTCCGTATGGCAGCATTTGGCATAGAAAAACTTATCCTCGGTCTAGACACGGAATCAAAGGACATTTTCCTTAACCAGGTTTATGCGGCGGAAATATTGCAAAAATCATATCTCACGATAATTCGTATATTTGCGCTGATGGTAATATTTCTAGCAATAAATGGACTGATTATACTAATTATTTGTTTGGCCATTACGATTAAACTTAACAATAATATGTTTAACTGCTGTTCATTAATATACTTGTTAACATTCAAAAATTAGTTAAATATCTTTATTAAAATATAAATTGTAAACGTTTGCTACTCTTGCATCACTTTACATATTCCTTCATGGTAAGTAAGTCCTTATGGCACAATTCTAAGAAGCAACCAATTTTTCCTCACATTTCACAACATATCTATTTTCATGTACTATGCCAAATCTAATCGTATAAACCGCTTTAGATTTTGTTGCATTTGTCTATATTTTTGTGCGTGTTTGCTGTCTGCGTCATTTTCTGCTTTGCTTTAGCAGGATTAGCATTAATTTCATGTTGAATTTATGTCACTGGAAATTTATTTCGCCCAAAAAAACTAAAACCTATCCGGAAAATTGCTCTCTTGCAGCTACACGGGCAAACATATCAAAGAAGGGATTATTTTGGACTGAAAAATTCACTTTAAAGGCGCTCAAGAGCAAAAACCCGTGACAGGTAAGCTTTTGCAGGCAGTGCGTTTGTGTGTAGATTTTGTATGGTATGTGGGTGATGTGGTTGGATGGATGGATGGATGGGTGGTTCAGGGAGCTGAGGCAGTCAACCTGAATAGTCGATTATCGCTGCATCTAATTTGTATGCCAAAGTCGTCGAGCTATGTGTATGGCCCGCATGCAGACCGCTCCAAAGGCGGCGCGAGCTATTTGAATAATTCGCATCATGGACTCTCGGATGTCGGGGGTATTCGGTCTCCAAATGGGGCAGATATTCAAGGGGCAGGGGGCAAGCGGCGTTGCAGGAAAGTCAGGGAATCTGAAGAGACGGCGCCGCATGCAGGCAGCTGCATGAGCTTGTAAAATGCCAGCAGACAATGCCAAATATCCTAAACAAACTTCCGCTTCGCAGACGACGTCGACTTTTCGACGCAGCGGTGGCTATAATTAAAAGCGGAGCGAGCGAGAGGCCACCACTTGCCACACGGGAGTGGGAGAGAGTGCACGATAGCGTGGCAAGTGCAACGCATCCAGGCCCCTTTTTCTATTTTCGCTGGTACCTCGCTGGCTTCGTTTATAGCCACGCACTGCAAAGTAAGGAATTGTTAGATTTAGAATACGTGTCATTATTGGGAAATTAATAACATGATTATTTTATAAATATATTTCAATGTCATCAAACAAAACATTTTCAGAGAATAGAAATATATTTTTTTGTCGTCAACTAATTTCTCGCTGTGTATGGCAAGATCTGTGATCAATATCAAGTGCCTTTGACATTTTCCAAGTATCAATCGACAACTGTTCGCTCGTGGAAAGCGGGGAAAATAGCTGCGGAAGTGCTATGTCTTGTCTATTCTCTTTCTCTAATTCTCGCGCTGCACTTCAATTTGTGATAGTTGTTGCCGAGAAGCAGGAGGGGATTTAAAGCAGGAGGAGGACGAGGCCGAGGGCAATTGAGTTCAGTCGCCACACGTGACAAACATGTGGAACAACTCAAGTTGAGATAGTGGACTCCGTCGAGCTATCAAAGGCAAATTATGCGACCAATTCAGGTAGCAGAAAACGAGGAGAAAGATACGAGATATCTAGAACAGTTTCTTCGGGTCAATGACTAGAGTTTTTCCCTTTGCTAAACCCAATTCCTCTGCTGCTTGTACTGCGTTTAAATGGTAGTTTTAATACAGGTATAATGTTGCTTAACTCCGCAATTTAAAACGTAATTGTAAAAGCAAAACATACCTCAAGCTTACTTTGTATATAAGAATATTTGTAATATTTCGTGTTGTGGTTAAAGGTTGTTCTTTACGCAATAACCACAATCAAAAAAAGTTTTTGTTGGCCATGGTCATACAGCATTTAAATTGTTTCCAAACTTTCAATATCAGAAGTGCATAGAGATCACTGAAAACTGGTATCTCAAAGATTCAATTGCCGAGTGGTCCACTGCAAGGTGCTAGAGATTCCGTTAAACTGTCGGATGCAAAAGTCTTGTCAAAAGAAGCAAGTTTGCCAGCGGGTCATTTGTGTGGACGCTGTATCCACGCACGTGTACACTCCAATGACTGACTGACTGAATGACTGGCAACTTGAATGCCTGACTGACCGAATAAATGACTAACGAGCAAACTGACTGACTGACTGACTGACGGGGCACGCAACAATTGTGGCAACAACAGATACGACTCGAAGGAAAAAGGCGAGAAGGAAAAAAGGAAAGAAGGAAGTGATCAAGTTTTTCCTTCCCAGGTTCTGCCTTCCAAATTTATGCAGTCCCTCCAAATGGAGGAGGTAGACCTGGCGGAGAAGGATGAGGTCGTGGGGTGGATGGGGTGATTGGGGTGGTTGGGGAAAGTACCGGGTGAGTGCCCTGGGCAGCGACAACTGCAAAGTGTTATTAAGTTGAGTTGTTGTTGTGCCGCTATTACGGTGGCTCTTTTGTTGCAACTCTCTTCTGCCCCTACAGTAAAACATAGTTTTGTCAGACAGGTATAGTAATAAGCTTCATTTAATTGATATACATATTTGGAGTTTAATAATGTTTTAAATAAATAAAACAAAATATTTTCCAAATACTTTGGACTACTTTTTAGGGAAAATAGAAATCTACATGGAAATATTAAATTTCAGAACTTTATAACATTAATTAACTATTTAATTAATATATTATATAATTATATTTTATATAATCGAATTTATAAGTCATAAAAAAGTAACATTTAATTCATGAACTACTATAACTAGTTAGCTAATAAAACAGACCACATCATTCGATTATATTTGCTTATCTGTCAACTTTATCAGTGAAAATTAGTTCAAGATACTTAATTAACAGCAAACGAAAAGTTTGAAATCAACCCGGGAAACTTTGAGTTAGTGAAGTTGGACTGTATGTTTGTGTTGTCACTGCTCTTTCTCATTGTTGGCACTTGCTTTTGCTTGTTGCCTTTGGGGCATATTTTGCACCTTTTACGTTTATTGTGACATTATGCTTTGAATAATGGACGACACAAAAACAACAACAAAACAACTAAGACAAAAACAACGGCGACAGGGCAAGCACTTTTTTTTAGAAGTCCGGGTTCGACGGTCGGGGAGTGAAGGTTGGATGATGGACTTTGTTGGGTTAGTGCCTGCCACTTTCCTTGTGTATTTTGCATCCTTTTTACATTATGTTTTGATTAAAAACTGAGCCACAGCTTCGCCGCAGCAGCTGGAAAAGAGGAAAACACGAGGAAAAACACTGAATACACAGAGAGAGAAAAATCAGGAGCAGTGCAAACAAAAGGCAAAGGCAAACAAAACATAACAAAGTGCGGTGTGTACAGACTTTGGTCAAGGAAACGGGGGCGTGGCAGCCGGTGGGCGGGTAAATAGCTGCCACTGCGGCGGTCACTTTCAGGACATCGGAGCGGAAAAATAAAAAATATGATATGCTGCGGCTAAGTGAAAAATGCTGATTAAAATGACCAAGACCAAGAGAGCCGGCTTGTGGCTCCGGGAATTTATTAAAAGGAAAGATGACATAACTTGAATTACGCAAAAAAAAGTGGATTGAAAATAATCTGCCATTTCACTTAACATTTCTGCCCATCGCCGCCTCTGCAAATAACTCAGATGTCACTTTCAAATATCTCGATGCCAGCTCCACTGGCTCTTTTATTTGGATTTAATTAAAATGTTCTGTCTAGCATGACGGCGGGGAAAAGTGGAAGCCGAGTTTAGTGGGCCAGGCTTTTCAGATTTGATAATGTGGTGTAATTTCAAATAGGTAGTTTTAATGGAACCTCAAAGCAGTAATTTCAAGCGGCCTTCACGCAGGAAAACCTACAAAATTTTGATAAACTGCCATTGATAATTATATGTATAATTAAAAGTACATGCATATTTTCAGGCTAAAATAATATTCTCGGAAGTAAAAATTGGCTTTCGCTTGACAACGGATTTTTATCTTCCCATACCTAAACTTATTTTCCCTAAGTAACTGCTTTTAATTATTTTTTCCTTTTTAGCCTTTCCAAACAGAAGCTTAAAGTATTATTAGTTTTAATTATCATATAAATAATCATGCCTTTGGGCCATTTGTTCGAGCATGTTTGTTTTCCATGTCATCCGTGTAAAAGCTGAATCGAATTTTAATGAGACTTTCGTGTTGGCCGTGTTGAACATAATTTTCTTTGTTAACCGCAAACTTTTCATTTTTCACTTGATGCTTTGGAAACCAATTAAAATTATCCCTGTGAAAGGCGAAGGGAACACCATGTTACATGTGCCAGGACACGAGACTTGGGATACAGGACACGCTTCCCTCAGCTGAGCCGGTGGCTTGTCACACCTCCAACAAAAAAATAAATGTGGGGGAAAAAACGAAGAAAATCCAGGGGAAAAAACAAAATGCGAACTGGCAAAAGAGCAGCGAAACCCGACTCCTCTGCAGTTGGTAAACTCGGTTGCCACAAAGTGAGTGAGTCATTATGGTGGCAAGCGGAGGGTTTTTGTGGCCAGCATTTGGATGGGGAACCATGGTTTGTCGTTGGCGCCTGTCATTTTTTTCTCCCCCCCCAAGGATCCGATGTGTAACTGCATGTGTTTTCGGGCAGCTGCATTGTCGGACAATTAAGCGCTGTCCCCGGCTGAAACTTAGCTCATTGCACTCAGAAAAACTAATTAATTAAAAAGCTAAATGCGCTTGGAAAAGTATACGGGATGAAGATGAGATTGACAGGATTCCAAATCGGATACTTAAGTATATAAAATATACGCAATGAGTATTTTAATGTCTGCACTTCAATAATATTTCAACATAAATTTATAAGTTTAATTCCTTTAACCCCTTTTTTTAAATTTAAATACATTTACATTTACACATAAATGTAATTGGTTCAGAAATCAACATTTTTCCAATTTTTAAGATCGCTATAGTATGAATTTAATGAGATACAAAATTTAATAAGAGTTTCCCAACCAACATCTTAGCAAGCTTCTACTTGCGCACAGTGGGAAAACAGGAAGTTCGGCTGTGGAGCTTCAACATCTTTATTAGATCGACTTGTTTAAATTAACAAAATGAATGGCCAAATATTTTTCATTTGTGGGTAGGGCTGGTGCCCGGATGGGCTCAGTTCATTCCCCGCCAGGCAGCACCTGCCCCTCTTTTCACTTTACCATCTTCAAATTGGGTTCATTGTCGTTGTATCTCGTGGCTTGTAATCAAACAAATGACTGCGCCCAGGTGTTGCCGCAGGCGGTGCCACAACCACCCACGCAGTATCGCCGCCCCACTTTTGAAAACGCCACCCACATCCTTACAATTTGGAGGTATAGCCAGGCTCTTAAAGCTTCTTTCATTGCCTGTCAGTCGTTGGGATCACTTTGGCTTCATTTCGCCCTTAACTTGCGTTTGCCTCCGTTATTGGCTTTGGCAGGCTCCTTTCTGTTGCTCCTCGTAAACCGCCCATATGTCCCTCTGTCTTTCTGTTTTTCCTGGCTCCTCTTTACTTTTAATGATGCGCAATTTGTCGTTAATTTTTTGGGCATTTTGTTTTATGTTTTATTTTTGCTTCTCATCATTTCCCAGCTGAGACTTGCCTCTATCACTTCCGGGTTCTTGGCTATTACACGGCGAAAAATAGAGGAAGCCCATAGTTCGATAGTGCGATTTCAAGCAAGCTTAAGACTAGGCATATTTATTTGAATAATGTGAATATCTTTCAAAGTTTTGCTTGGATACTGTCAAGTTTGTTTAAGTTGAGCAGTAAATGGTGAATAGTGAAATGGAAATAGATTTTATCACTGTGTATATTTCCATTCCACTTGCGATTCGACTTTGTTTTCTCTGCTGTAACTTTGGGGAATTTTTGTTTTATGTGTTTGGGTCGTGCTAAACTTTCGTCGTTGTCATCATCGTTTCATTAATGGCGATTTTAGTTGTTACTCTATTCCCTATTCATGCTATTGTTGATCTATGTCCTTTTGGGAGGCTATTAAAATCTGATTATGTGCTCCAATGGGATTGCGAATACATAGATAGCAAATTGCGGAAGCCCTTACATTTTCCATTACATTTTCCCCAGCATTCTCAACCGGTTTCCGGCCATTGTGTTCATTAAGTTAAGCGCTCGTTGAAACTAAATGGCGCTTAAAGGATTCCGAAAGCGGAGAGGGCAAACAAGGAAATGCGGCAGAAGTGAAAGGAGAAAGCATTACCAGCCACGTGGCAAACCCTTTTACGACTTCATTTTCATTAGCGCACAGCGAGCAAAGTGCAAAATCCAGCCAAAAATCGTCCAAACGCACCCACTATCCATTTCCCCCCTTTAGAGTCCCCCTTTTCGGGGTGGCAAAACTACTGCCAAACCCAAAAACAAACCAAGTCGGAACAGAGCGGACCAGAACCTGCACCAGAACCTGAAGCAGAACCGCCAACCAAAACAAATGCCCAGCGGCATTGTGGCAAGTGTTCGTCTGTTCGTCTGCTCATCCAATGCAGCTCCTTTTCGCCGGAAGTGTTCCACCGCATCACCTGGTAAAATGGGTGGATGGTTGGTCGGTTGGATGGGTTGGATGCAGTCTCCAGGAAAAAATTGAGCTGCTCTCCATACCAAATCTTCTATCTATTTTTTAGAAATTTGGGGCTAGCAATTTGCAGCTTAAATCTATTTAAGCTTTTAATCAAAATAAATTGTTTTTAACCAAAATAAATTGTATTTTTACATTCTCCTGATCATTTACATTAGATGCAATTGAGGGATTTGTTTAATAAGTTTATCTAAAGTAGTCAATATCTAAAGCACATTTAATCAGTTTGTAAAGTTGTTATCGTATTTAAAACTATTAAAACAACTAGCCAATTATTGCCTGCAATTGTTTTAAACGTTTTAGTGTCCATTAGAGGCATTAATATTTAATAATGAACGGCTTAGTGGAATAAAAGGTTATAAAAGGCTTTAATGTTGGTAAATTGATATCCTTTAAATGATATTGTATTTATATGTGCGGAAAGTATTCCGAGTTGGCCAAAAATATCCCGAAGCATACCAGCTGCAATTCCTCGAAATCCATTCCACTTGAAGCAATAATTTTGTTCCTCTGCTGTTTCTGCTGCTGCTTATTGTAATGTTTGCCTCAAAATAGAGCTCAAAATGGTGAAGAAGCTGCGGATGGTGTGCTGTTCAACTAGCTTTTAGCCAAGAGGCGGCTCATTTCACTCGACGCCTCATGAAGCAACGGGCATTGGCCCAAACGCCACTCCGGCGCACATTCCACACACTCCCCACTTACCATTCTAGTGGTCCAATCCAATTGCCATGCAAATGTGCAACAATTGACAACAGAAACAGGCGCCAGACGAGATGCGATGCCATAGATATAACTGCACATAGTAGCAGAGGGAGGCGCACATGACGCACATGGACATGGACAGACAATTAAGTGTCAAGTTTTTCACGAACATTATAATGGAGGGGGCTGGATGGGAGGGGCTCCATAGCTGGAGCGAACTGCTACTAGTGACGACGAGTGTTTTATGCTGTTTTACATTTGTCTCGGTATGGAGCGGATGCACAGCGCGCTAAAGAGGCGTGGCAGGCGTGCACTGCAAGAATATTCCCTATTTCACGCTGAAATCCATATAGACTTATTATATCTAACTTAACGAGGTTATGAATTAAATATGTAGAGGATGATTTGTAATATACATACAGTCTCCGCTTGTAAATTGAATCAACATCTTCAGTATTCAATTTGGTTGCAGTGCAGCTGGATGTCATCGCAGTGACATTTGTCAACTGGATGGCGACCAGAACAAAAACGCTGAGATTTAATGGTTGGGGCTGTGGGGCAGTCGCAGACAACGGGGCGTATGTGTAACTTCCGGAATTTCTTGTTGTTATTGTGCTTTTCCATGTGTTTTTTTGGGATGCTGCCTGGGCAAAATGGATTATGCAAGTGTGTGTGTGTGGCTGTAGTGGGGATATTTCATTTGCCTGGCTCCCCTAAAATTTCCCCCTTCGGGGGAGTCCTCTCGAAACGGAAAACACTACAGGAGCCAGGCAGGCAAACAATTGCCTAACAAAAGCGGCTTACGTACAACACTTGAGGCTCGCACAATTCTGGCTGTTGCGCTCTGGTTTTTTGCTGCTTTTTGCCATTTGATGCTGATGTTGTTGTTGGGCTGCCAACTAGAGTCTGACTGCAGTTAAATTACAATTGTTCGCTTTGTTGCACATTTGTTTTTTCCACCGATTTTTGCGCAATTTGCATTCTACTTGGGGTTTCCAATTCGCCATACTCCGTTTTCTTTTAGGGTATTACCAAGTTGGTTTGACGGGCCACGAATTGGTTTGAAATTAATATTAATATGCACATTTTAAAATCCACATCAATGCCTTATGCAAAATAAATCTAATATATGGTTCTCTTTTTTTGCAGGTAATAAACATTTTACGACGGGAATTTTATTAAAGTCCGTGAGTTGACAATAACTATGGTATTAAATGTAGAAAAAAAAAATAATTTTATAGCTTTTTTGTTATATTTATACGCGCTTCAGGTGTTTGTGCAATTATTACGCAGATTTTAATAGAATTAATAGTATTCCGTTAAATTCATTTAAATGCCGTTCTGCTCAATATAATGCAATCATCCCATACCACTGAGTACCTCCGATTCGAATACCCTTCAGTTTTAGTTCCAGAACCGTTTCTAACTGTGTGTTCCCTTTTCAAGCCTCCATATAAGTAATATGTAATTGTGTCTGGTTTGCTCGAAGGGAGATGCACACATTCAGTGGCAACAGGGAAGCAGAGGGAGACAGGTTGACTAGGGGGAAAGAGAGGGGTTGAGTGGCCCCACCGGCTTTGTCACAATGTTTTCCGCTGCTCCCCGCTGCTTTTTTGCATTGTTTTCCATGTGGTGGTGTGTGCGACAGTGCTTAAATGGTATAAAATGCTAATCGCATTTGCCCCACACGCCGTTGATTTATGTCTGTGTGTGTGTGTAGCGAAGGTGTGTAGGTGTAAGGGCTTATATGGAATTTGGCTGGCATGGCTTAAAATTTCGTGTTAATTGTAACCGAATTCAAAATTAATTCATTAGTCATAAATCAGGCGTGTGTGCGCGAAAAAATTAAATAGTAATCCAGGAGGGCGAGAAAAACGAACGCACAAATTCCTTGCAAATGTGAAGTGTAACGCACACCTTTGCACACAAGAAAATCTCATTTGCATATGCAAGCCAACTTCATTTGCATGAAATGCGACGTCGCTTACCCAAAAAGAAAGGAAACAGGACCAAAATAGCTGGGAAATTGGGATGCCAGGGTATGGGTTAAGCACTTGCACTTCGTTGACTTGGAGGACCAAGAAAAGCAAATGCAGTGTGTTCTTGAAGACATTCACACGTAACTGTCGAGAAGCGGAATAAATACAGTCCGTTTCGAAAAAATAGAAGCCTGAGAAGCCAGAAAATTATGTTGTGATTGATTTATGCTTTTGCTAAATTCGATAAAAGGTTTCCATGAAGCTGGAAACTGAATGTTTCTTTAATATTATAAGGCGATTTATCAATTTACAAGATAAGCTATGGTAAACTCGAACTTCCCAGTAAAATAAACTACATGATGTGGTTTTCATACAAACTTGGAAAACTAATTCGTAATTAAGTAATTTGATCCGTTTGCCCTCATTTATTTTGTATTTGTGCATTCGGGGTGCTGATGTACATAAAGTACATAATGTGTGTAAGCGAAATACACACAAGCAGTCCAAGGAAGGAGACGCAGGACTCAGCAGAGGATTGGCTGCAAGGAGTTCGCAGGAAGGACGACGGACTAAGAGGAAGCTGCAGCTCTGTAGCTGCCTCCGTTCCCATAATGAAGCATCACGAAGTTTTGTATTATAACTCATTAAATTTCTGCGGCTGCTGCAGCAGATGCAGTTTTTGAGTTGCACTAGCAAAAATTGCTTGTATTTTCACTACTTATAGGGACTTCCTGCTCCTTTTTCTGCGCATCCTTAACACTTCTTCTCCTTTCCCACTTCATCTGGCATTCCACTTAAATTCGTTTAATTACACGCTACGGTCTGGAGCCAAAGTTCTGTACTCGTTTCGACCTCTTCATTATCATTCTTTTGGCCCCGAATTCATTTTCATTTGTGTAGCCATCGCCACATGGCAGTCTGAAGTCATTTTTCGCCGGCTTTCCTCTGCCGGTATCTCCCTCTTTTTTCTACTTAATCCTTGTTAGCTTTCGGCGTGAGCTGGTTTTTCTCCGTCTGTCGCGCATTTTATGCAAATTACTTGCTTAAAGCTTAAAGAATAAAAATAAAAAATAAATGGCAAGTGCAGATTGGACCTGGCACAAAGCCAGTCACGTCACATGTGGCTGGGGAAATATGCCATTCGGCTTTCGACTTATCGACTGGGCTCCCTCCTCTTAAACCTGGCCCAGGAATATCCTTTTTCTCAAATGCGAGTTGCGTGACTTTTGTGACTTTTTTTTATTTCTTATGGTTGCCTTGCTCATCAACGAAGCCACTGTCGTCGAGTCATCATCATCAGGGCTCTCATCATCATCATCATCATCACTCGCGTTCCTGTTGACAGTCGAGTATTAAAATGCCACCGTATTACTGCCTCCGACTTTGCATTTATCTTTCCGGGCTGCTCTTAACTTTTTCTTGGAGTCGCAGCTTTATTAAATGGAGCATAATTTATGTGAGGGATTTCAGTTTATTGCCTGCAAAAAGGAGACTCATGATATGCATATCAGATGATTACCTCAGTGGAAAGTATACTCAGTTAAGGGCGCAAAGATGGCAGGGAAATTTAGCTAATTGAAGTCTAATTACTGTATAGAACCCCATGTAGTCCATGCCCAACCACAAAATTCCTTCACACTGCCTCCAAGTGGGTCAGCATTTCGACCCAAATTTCAGTACCCAAACCAATCCAATCCAATCAAACTTACTCTAAAACCACCCTGGAAGCAACTACAACCCTTTGGGTCAACAACTTCGCCGCACCCCGCAATCAAGTTCAAGGCATGCATGTAGTAGCCAACTCAATTACTGGCCCATGGCATTTTGCTATCGATTTAATAATTGGCTGATAAAAGTAAAAATACATCGCAATCGATAAAATCCATTAGCCATAAACAAGGGGGTTGGTGTGTTCTGCGTAGTTTCCTGCCCAAAGAAATCAAAAATCGATTAAGCTCCTGATGAATTTCCCTTTCTCCACTGCGGTTGGCAAAAAAGTTTTAATTACGCGCAAATATAACGTGTATCGCTGTTAATATGGCAGAAGTTCTTGAAATTTTCATCGCAAATTGCCATTTAAAATGCAATCACATTAACCCCAGACATCCTTTGATCAATTGAGCCAATTGCGGAATGCTTAATTGCCGATGCTTAATGGGTTTTTTCGCCATTCTTGTTCCTGTTCTGCAGTTACTTGTTACTACATATAATTGGTTAAGTCTGCTGTCGGAAAAAATATATTAAAATTAATAATTAAAAAAAATATAAAAAAATTGAAGTTAACTTTGTGTAAAATCGAAATATTTTAATTAAATTAAATGTAACAAGGTTCAAGTAAGCTTCATATTATAGCATACATTTTTTGTTAAAGATATAACATGACAAATTTGTATGCCACACAGAATTTTTAAGGTACAAATATTTTGAATTTTTTGTTGCTCAGTGTAAGCATAACTGCCAAAATTAAAGGAAACACGTCTCATCTTCCTGTTTCGGATGCATCTGAAATCTAACAGCTGCTTCTAAAGCGCAGATGAAACCTCTGACTGAAACTGCCCGAATGAGTGACCATTAATTTGAACAAAGCTAATGCCGAAAATTATATGGCCAACGGTATCCGCCAAAAATTTGGGTTACCCTCGAAAACGAGCAAAAAATACAAACAAGGAAACGGGTTTGCTGGCGACTGGTTCGCGAAGTAAGTTCCGCTCCCTTGCCCCAAAAATATCGGTAAGGGACTTGCAACCAGAACAGATGTCGGCGATCGCGGTCGAGTTACCTGAGATCGGACCGCTTCGCTCTCGACTGCCATATTATACCTTATATGCTGTCTTCTTTGATTTGAGCAGTGGCAGGTGCAAATTTCCAAGCCTGATCAGCGCTTTAGGGTCTCTGTTTCTGGCCACTGAGAGAAATGGGAACCTGTTCGTATACTAAGCGTACAGAGTAGGAAATGCACAACGTTTAGAGCAGTTGGTATTTTAAGTGCAATAAAGAGTTAATCCCTTAGTAAATAAAACAATATATTATATTAATGTAAAAACTATATTAAAGGGGATTCTTCAAGTATTGACTAACTTCATATTATTTTTGCTTCATCTTCTATATGGACAGATATACACGCTGTTCTTCGAACTTAAGTATAGAATGAAAGCTAATACTTTAATCTAGGATGAGAATTGAGGTTCGACAATAGTAGCACTTGTATCCTTGGTAACATGATCACTCCAACTCAAAGTAATTTGTGCGCTTTCTGGCTTGATCTGTATTCCTCAGTGCAGGTATATCTGCTCCTTTCCTTGGCTTTTGTGTCCGTTGCCTTAACTGATTTCCTTCGCTCGGGCACACCTGCTGTCCTGTCCTTGTTTGCGATCTCCTCCTGAACTTCGAGATACACATGTATGCATATCCCTATATTTCTTCGTTGCACTCTGACTCACGCAGGTAGGCTGACGTGATCCTTTTGTGGCCATAATGGCCTTTTCGCAATTTGTTTGCTTTGGTTGTTGGGCTCTGCGTTAATCGAAAGTGCTTAAGTCTGTATCCTGTGCAGGACCCTTGAAGATTACAATCTGCGGCTTAGGGCGGTCGGGTCTGGAACGACCTCTCATCATTGTCCGTGTCAAAATAATTGCCATAAATTATTCGACTACCTGCTACTGTCTGGAAACGACCTCGTCGAATCACTGGAACAAAAACTAAACTCCTTGGAGATGTGTTAATTTCTGTGACTGTCCTTGTGAGGCAATTATTCTAGGTGTCAATTGAATTTATTTCTTTTGTATGACCCTTGAAACTTTGTTTCACTTTCTTTCTTTCAGAATCCATATTTCAAGTTAGTATGCAGGCCAATGACATATAATCTCTGTAAAAATGTAAAACGGAAAATACTTAAATAATTGTGTTTGGGATGCCTGTGTCTGCCATTTTCTCGTTTTCTTATTCAAGCGCTCTGCTCTTATCAACGTTTGATGAAGTGATTCCACTTCAGTTTCACTTGACCAAATAAAATTTCCTTCATTAAAATGAATGAACACCGAAAACTAAACTTGAAATTGCCGAGCCTCAAGGGGAGGGTCCTTCTAAAAGGGGATGCGGATGTAGAAAGGAGGCAAGAGGCTGGCTATCTCTGAGTACATCTATCTCGAGTTCAGCTCGCATTTTGCAGTTTGTCGTGCCGCTGTCGTTCAGATTTACGAAAATTACTA